GTAATTACTTGTCTGTTTTAATTCTTGGTGTCTGTTGTAGTCTAGAATTTTTTTTTTTTGTAATAATCGAGAATGGGGTGTTCCACAAGATTGCTTGATGGGGAATAACCTCATGACATTTTGCTTTATAAAAATGCCCATCCCTGACTGTACCATCTATGGAGTGCATGGTAAGGCAGAAGGGGATTGCTGCCCATCATTGCCATGCCTTGAGTGAAAAGCTCGGTATGATCTGCTTTTCAGAATAAGGTTTTGTGGACACCCATTGCACTGTCTCTGGTGATAACGTTCCTCAGGAATCCCCACCACATTGTCACCCTCCTTTCCCTGAATGAAGTATGGGAGTCCTTACCACTTTCTAGTTCCAAGCCGCTGGGGTATTTGACCATGCAAGCACCCCCACTGAATGAGATCCATAAAAAAAGGACTAGAACCATTCAGTCAAGAGTACGGCAGTGGTGTTCTGCTGGTGTAGATGAGATGTGGCCTCCAGAGGAGTTGAGCTGTCACCTTACTAGATGACGTGACCTTCTGATACCATTTCCATAACCACGGGAGTTGAGCCATCATCTTACTGGATGGTGTGGCCTCCTGATACCATTTACATAAATACTGGAGTTGAGCCATTGAAATTGCAGTTCACCCCTTCAATTGGAAGATCTCATCCTACCCTCATGTGGATGTCGGTACCCTGCTAATAGGTTTTGGGTTTGAGTGAACCAATCACTGTAAGTCCTCACATGAGCTGATTCTATGCGATTAACATCCTTTTGATACCGGATATCAATTCCTGGATTGATAGTTCAGTGATGATCATCGTGTTATACCGAGAAATCGATGTGGGTCCTAATCCCTGATTCTTGGGTTTGAAGTGAAGACGGTATGATCCTCATCCTACCCTTATATGGATGTCAGTACCCCACTAAGAGATTTTCAGTTAGAGTGCACCAATCACCATAAGTCCTCACATGAGTTTATTCCATGCGATTGACATCCTTTCAATACCAGATTGATAGATCAGTGATGATCCTCGTATGATACCCAGAAATCGGTGTGGGTCATAATCCTCGATTCTTGGGTTTGAGGTGAAGACAGTATGATCCTCATCCTACCCTCGCATACATGTTGGTACTCCATGAGGAGGTTTTGGATGTAGTTGACTTACCGAGTATGGTCCACTGCACCCTAGCCACTCTACACCTTTCAATTTCCACCCTTACACATTCCACACATGCACGAAGAGTATATCTGGCTCAGAAGTGGTGTGGTTCCACTTGTCTGATCTTTGGATCTGTCTCTCTCATTGTCAGGGGTATCCTTTGGACACCTTTGAGGGTACTTCTTTCATTCCCTTGCACTGGTCCCTCCTCCTTCTAAATGTTGGATTCTAGTTAATCTTGTGAGAAGAGGTAAGTACTGTATTGAAAGTTATAATTTTCCTACACTGAAAATGTATTTCTGATAGGTACTTACCTCTACTCACCCTTCCTCCCCACTTCTCTGGTGCTCATACCTTCAGCCAAACTTCAAAGTGAAGGTTTGGAGAGGAATGTAGAGTGAGTCATATGCATCACATGAGCATATCATGCTACTATTGGTTAAGAGATGATGCATGATGATTTACATGAGAGACGTGTTGGAATATAGTAATTGCAATAGGGGGGAGCAGAAGGCTTGTGCCATGCACAAAGAAAAAGTTTGCATATAGAGGGCAGCATTGAACAAGAGTAACTAATCTTGCGAGTAGAGGTAAGTACCTATGGGAAATACATTTTCAATATAGGGAAATTATAACTTTCTACTTCTTTAACCACAATAGATAGTTAAAAATTCAAACATTAGGTTTTCATAAATCAAAAAAAATTTACCTTTTCCTATATCAGTAGTTCTAAAAAGAATATAGTCAGATTTCTGTTATTATAGTTGAATTTAGAGCAATAACTCATCACCACTTTCACAAATTGTTGGTATTTTGCTTGAAAATTGGCTGCTTGATTAAAGAAGAAATTCAAAGTTTCATAACAATATATTTCCTAAGCTTTACTATGACGTCTAAAGATTTTTTTTTATTATCACATGAAAAGTTGAATTTGATATTGAACTATGGCTACACATTACTACCAGAGTATATTCTGAAATGTAAAAATTATTCAAAAAGTTGTTGAAGAAATAAAACTGTTAATATTTAGGTTAAATGTTTATCAGAAATGATGCCCTGTCATTCTCTTCCATAGTTTATAAGTAATTCTGCTGTTTTTAATTCTTGGGTGCTGTTGTAGCAGAATTTTTTTTATTTTTTTTTGTAATGGTAAAGCTCAAGGTTTTGTATTGATAATTATAAGTTTCAGAAAAGTAGCATATTTTGTTACTTTCAGTCACCTAAGTACTTATTTCTTGTGTGCAATATCACAGCCTGTTCAAGACTTACTGTTATCATGTGGATAACAAACAGTAATAGGGGTAGACTGTAAAAATTTTTGCTATATATATATAAATAATGGATGTGTAAAATAGTATGGGCTCATTTTATCATGCTAATTATGATTTATGGGTTTTTGAATAAATGTTTAATGGACTGCTAAATGTATAAACAACTTATCACAAACAATGATATAAAAACTCTGTTAATGTTGAGTAATAGTATATTGACTGAAACTGCATTGTATTGAAGTTCAGTGTTTTATTTATTTCTTACTAGTCGAGTGCACATTTCTGAAGCAACTTTAGATCAACTAGATAATAACTATGTAGTTGAACCAGCCTTTGGCTACCAAAGAGACATTTTGTTAAAGAAGATGAAAGTTGAAACATTTTTCATTGTTGGACATAAGAAAAAGGTAAAGTTATTGAAAGACTAATACTCACAAAAATATTGTTGAGGGGGATGAATCTGCTTCAGTCAGGATCAGGAATGATCAGTACCAAAAACATGATGTTAGAAGATTGAATTTGCTTTAGTCAGAATCAATGTCAGCAAAATGTTGTTGAAGGAATGAGTGTACTTTGGTCAGAATCAGGTATGGTCAGTGACAAAATTAAATTTATTTTAGATCATACATAAGTTAAAAATACTTTAGTAATTTTGATCATCAAAAGTGATTGGACATGTGGCAGTGAGATATGGTGTCAAAGATACATACACCTTATAAAGTTTAAGGAAGACAGACTAACTCCAGCTAGGAACAACATTTTCAAGTTAAGGAATATTATAGATCCAGGTGAGATGTTAAAAATATTAGGAGATTAGTTGAAGAGTACTAGCATAGTTTATTAAGATGTAGAGTTAAAGTCTCATGAAAGAAAACTTTGAACATACTTGTTAAAAAGAATATCAAAAACTGTTCATTGCAATTTAAAACTAGGCATCAGAAAGAAAGATATAATAGGAATCTTAATTTCAAATAAAAGGAGGGAGATATAATGACATCTAAAAAAAACTTGAGTATATTTATTCATTTCAAAAGAGAGCATTAATATTATATAAGTGGAATTGTTAAAAGTGATTTTAATAAACTATTTAGAAATTGTAACAAATTGTGTCCTGGTTGAGATTTTTAGCAAAATCACATGAACAATTGGTAAGTTTATACCATTTTAAAACTACACCTCAGCTGTTTCACTAAAAAAACATAGGCACAAGCCTAATTAGTATTTTTAGCAGCATAAGCAATCCTTTAAATTATAAATTTGATTTTTGGGGGGTTAACAGACAATATCTCTAAGCTCAATTGAAATACAAAAAAGATCGAACCATTTTGAACCAAGGAGAAAGCAGTTTTTATAGGTCATTGCATGATGTTGAAAGTTAATATAAGTTGAAAGTATTTTTATTTATTTAATGTAAAATTTTCTAAGTGTATGTATTTATGATTTTTTTGTGTGCTTGTACTATATTGTAAGAATACACAATTTACTGTCATAGTCAATAAATAGAAGAGAATCAATATTCCAGGTGACTGGGAATGGATACTTTAATGGAAGACGATCATCTTTTGCATCAGCTCCAGTGATAGCCCGTGCTCAAATGCGTAATAGGGTATGTATGTATGTGCTTAGTAAACCATCACTATAACATAGGTTTAAGAAGTGTAAATACAAAATGATAAAAACCCTTTAGCATGAGACTTTGGAAAGGTGGACCTTTCTTCTTCAGGGGTAAACTGAAGAATATTTTTATTTTGTACTAAATAAATGATAACACAGGCCTGCGAATTTTAACTTTGTAAAAGTTGTTTTGGTTTTATTACTGGATTTTCTATAATTCAGCTATGCAGATTTTGAAAATATTTAACCTTTTTTTTTTTCCTATCACGTTAGGATTTTTACTAAATAGGAAGAAA